AGCATACTTTGTTTGATTTGGCTATCTGCCACCTTTYACTTATGCTCTTTTTGCTCAGTTCCTTACATTCCGCTAACTCGTGGTTTAAGCTACACAGTGTACATACAGGATTCGTGTTGCAAGTTTCATGTAGTGTAGACGCAGTTGTCATCCGTTCTTGCCTTGAGGTCGGTTTCTTGTCTGCTCTAATTCTAGYACTGTAGCTGGCATTTGTTTGTTGATTTTTYTCACTGTCTAGACTGGAAGTAGATTTGTTCCTCTCACCTGCTTCCTTGGATACGAGTTGTCGGTTGAGAAACTTAAATAACATGTCAAGTTCAATCTTTTCATCAGTAACATCTGCGAGTTCTAACTCCCATTTTTCTAAGAGTTGTGGTGGTAACTTGGTTTCAAATACAGGCAACAAAATACATGCGTGTRTACTTGGTAGTTCTCCAAGAGCCTCTAGGGCTCTTGTCCTGTTSTTTAACGTGTCGTGCAGCTCACGCAATGCTYGTGCCGACACCTCTGTCGTAGATTCTAAGTTAATTATTGACTTGATGAGTGATGAAATGATAATGCGTTTCCTGCCGTATCTGTGCTGTAAAGCTTCTACTGCTGACGAGTAATTAGCGCCGGTGACTTCAAATCCTTCCACGGTTTGCAACGCGCTTCCCTYGAGAACTGATCGTAGATAAGTAAATTTCTGAATGTCTGGCAAATCGTCATTCTTGTGTACTGCAGCTTCAAATTGATCCCAGAAGTTTTGAAACTTTAATAAATCTCCATCATGCGTTGGTAGTTCTATTTTAGGCAGTTTTAAGTTTTTTCGAGTCTCCTTAGATGATGCAATACTTTCGGCGGCGGATGATTTACAAATTTCCTTTTCGATGTATTCTTGAGCAATGTCAATAGCTTTATCTATATCATTCAAAATTTCTTTACACGTATGAAGCTTAGTGTCTCTTAATGTCGTCTTCTTCGACTGAAGTAGATACGAAATCCTCTCTTAAATCAAGACATAACAGGCGACAATCAACCAATCTTTGTGATCTCATTTGCATTTTGATCTTGTTATGTTACGAGGCGCTATGCTGAATTTAAGATGACATTTAAAATATAGGAAATTTAATATTTAGCTTAACTTTAAACATTACAAGTGGATTAGTTACGAGACGTTATTCTGACATTTTGTAGGACTTCTGGTAATAGCAAAGTAAACGTTACAAGTGGATTAGGGAAGGCCAAGGCTAGGTATGGGTGGTCGCGCTTGGAACGAAGATCGGCCARGATCGGGAGGCGCCGTAGTTCACGCTTCCAACCATGACCAGCCTGGCAAATAGTATGAGTCACGAATAATGGTAAAATAGATGCTTTAAGAAAGTATTTGTAGAAATATTTCAAATTGGAGAGCTATATGTGGTACCATCAGCCAGGGGCACATCCCTCACGGGATGCCACAAAACCAGACAAAACCAACCATTCCCAGAAAGTTCTAATCCCAGGAAAAAGGAAAGGATTGGCTGCAAATTGGTGTGGGGTAAATTTTAATACCCCAGGTAAAACCCAAACACTGTCTGATTGTAGCACATATAAGCCGAACAGATTTGTAGAAGAAGTTAGAATAGAATCGAATGGAAGTTAGAACTGAAATCACAATAAAAGAACCAAAGAACACAGAAGTTATATTGAATCCACGGTTCCTAACAGTTATTTGAGCTTTAACTTAGTTCAAACACATCAATAGATAGAGCTTCGACATCTCCTTTCAATATTTTCATTCTACGTTTAGATCCATCTTTTTCTTCTAAATATTGTTGAGATGTTGTACAAGTAG